GTCCTAAGATGAATATATTCAACGAATACCTGATCATCTATATTGTGTGATACTACTTTGGTACAATTTCTTTCTGTGACTTGGCACCCTGCCTCCAGTCATTGACTTGACCCTGGGACTGGGTTTCCTGCCATATGCAAAGGTTAGCACGTTAGATTGACTTTGCTCTTTCAGGCTTTCAATATTGAAAGAATTATCTGCTATTTAAAATATGTTCTTTAGTGTTTTTTCACTGGTTTTTCTTATAAGCCTAATTTGATGTAAATTTTCCTTCTTTTTCTCATGATATTACTATGACAAACTTGATGAGTATATAAGTTTTATTTTCATCTAGTATTTTTTCAGTATATGAAATATTTATTTATCTACCTTGCCTTAATCACCATTTGAGAACTTCCTAATGCTTTTAAATACCGAGAAAAGAAAAATTATTTGAATAAGAAAAGGGATTACAGAAGTGGACAATAATTTCCATTTAGTAGACTTTACATATAGAGGGGAAACTTACACTTAACAAGTAGGTAGGAAGCATACAAACAAACAAAACCCTACAACCATGACTAGACAAAACATAGAAAAATGTCAATCAAAAAGAAAGTAGACCAAGAATGTGAATAGCCTTGCTCCCATACAGAGTGCAGCATTGTTGTTGTGTTTTGCTGTTCGGGGTTTTGTGTTCGACGTTTCTCTCTATATGAAAGGCAGGATAGTTTTTTGTGAGGTATGGGGAAGAAGTTTGGGGAGAGGTGGGGAGCTGTTGACAATAAGCCCAAGAAAGAAGTAAATGTTCTAAAACAGAGGTGATGTTACAACTCTTTGTAATATGATTAAATTATTGATTGGTATGGTATGTGAAATATATGTCAATAAAACTCTTTTAAAAATTGAAACTAGAATAGGTCAAAATGGAGATTGAATTACAAAGTGTTAAATTTTAACTTAACTACATGTGTCATAATTAACTTTAGAATGCTCTCTGTCTGGTAGCATGACTGTTCACATCCCTGAACTTTGGCCAGAGTGGATTTACCAGAGGATTAACCCATGTGGGGACCCTGCAAATGGCTTTTGGGCTTCCACTGTTATCCATAGCCTTCTGCAAGCTAGATGCTCCCAATTGAAACTCTGATAGTTTTTCCCCCTTAGGATTTGGGTTTTATTATTTACAATATTTGGATCACACAGGCTGACATGCTTCTTCCCTGTAGACTTAGTTGACACTGAACTTAGATGGCTGCAGGTTTTAATACAAGTCTTGATGACCCCAAACACTAGTGTTTCTTTACCACACTTTGCTACAACAACCATATCTTCAGTGATCTCTTCATGAGGGTGACTATTGTGTAGGACCATGTCATAAGAACTAGTTGTTCTTAGATTGGGGCTAGAGTTAATTGTCAGAGCCCAATCCATTCCTATATCTCTGGTTTATATATGTCTCTGGTTCACTTTAGAGACATCATTATCATTTTGTAATAGAGAAAATCATAAATAATCCCTGGGGCATAAGCTAATTCTATTGATAGTGTCAGTAATTTAGCCAGTGGTATAACAGAGTATAAAGTATAGCTAGTTACTATGGCTGCTTCATGTACAGGTACTATACTCTACAATTTCTAAGTAATTATTATTACCCTGTATGAGTATTCCATTTGTGTCCACCTATAAATGAGTTAGGGGGGAAATATAACTTACCTACTTGTCTCATTGTTGGTCCTTTTTTAAGAAGCTACTTTAAAAAAATAGGAATGCTGTATTGAAATTCAGATACTCACCCTATTCCCCGTGTAATTTTTCATCTATTGAGTGTCTTGAGTACTTGTGGGCAATGGGATAGACCCAACATTGAATAATGATAATCACTCCAGCTCTCCTTTCTTTGCAGACACCACATGAAGTCATGGGGAAATGGAGAGAGGCACGGAATCCCTCTTCCAGGAGAGCGTGTCTTTCCTAAATGGAGGATCGCGTTGCCTTTTCCCAGGACACTGGCACGTTGGCAAAGCCACGGCTGTCCTTCATGCGATTTCCTGTGATTCACAGAGCATCCCAACCGTGATGCTTGCCCTGGGCTCGCAGATCTTCCACCTGATACCCTGTTTGCTTCTCTGGGACGGCAAAGCTCGCATCCGTTGCTCTCCATGGTGGCCAATCTTTTTAAGAGCCTGATTTTACCCTACATACATAAGCTTTGCAAAGGAATGTTTACAAAGAAACTGGGATATCCAACCCAAAAAAAAGACAATCGTCAACAGAAAAAAGATCAAGGCTTTCCCACGGCTGGCCTGGCCCAAACCCCTAAGCTTTCTAATACCTTGAAAAGCACGGTCAAGAAGATCGCCAAGTGTCCATCCACTCGCCACTTATCTACTGAAGGCGACGAGGCCCACCGAGAGTTTTCCCTCTCACCCACTTTCAGTTATAGGGTAGCCATTGCCAATGGCCTCGCAAAGAGTGCTCGTGTAGCCAGTAGTGATCATGAGGAGCAGCCTCACGAGCTCTCTTCAATCGAGAGCTCCTACTCAGAGTCACTAAACGAACTAAGAAGTGGTACAGAAAACCAGACGCAACCAACAGGCACCATGCCCGTTCGTCGCACTCGAAAGAGCTCCAGCAGCCTCGCCCCCTCCGAAGGCAGCTCGGATGGGGAGCGTACTTTACACAGCTTAAAGCTGGGAGCTTTACGCAAGCTGAGAAAATGGAAAAAGAGCCAGGAGTGTGTCTCCTCTGATTCGGAGTTGAGCACCATGAAGAAGACCTGGGGAATCCGAAGCAAATCTTTGGACAGAACTGCGCGAAACCCAAAGGCGAATGCCCTGGAACCAGGCTTCAGTTCCTCTGGCTGCATTAGCCAGACCCAGGACGTCATGGAAATGATCTTTAAGGAACTCCAGGGAATAAGTCAGATTGAAACGGAACTTTCGGAGCTCCGAGGTCACGTCAACGCCCTGAAGCACTCCATCGACGAGATCTCCAGCAGTGTGGAGGTCGTGCAGAGTGAAATTGAACAGCTGCGCACGGGGTTCGTCCAGTCTCGGAGGGAGACCCGAGACATCCATGATTATATTAAGCACTTAGGGCATCTGGGTAGCAAGGCCAGTCTACGATTCTTAAATGTGCCCGAAGAACGATTTGAATACATTGAGAGTGTGGTGTACCAAATTCTGATCGATAAAATGGGCTTTGCAGATGCACCAAATGCTATTAAAATTGAATTTGCTCAGAGGCTAGGGCAGCAGAGAGACTGTCCGAATGCGAAACCTCGACCCATACTGGTATACTTTGAAACCCCTCAGCAAAGGGATCTCGTTCTTAAAAAATCATATAAACTCAAAGGCACTGGCATTGGAATCTCCACAGATAGTCTTGCTCATGATATCAGAGAAAGAAAAGAGAGAGGCATCCCATCCTCCCAGACTTATGAGAGCATGGATATGAAGCTGTCGGCTCCAGAGCCCCAAATCCAGAGGAACCATTGGCAGTCGCCCGAGGACAGCGATGGAGAGCCCGAATCTGACCTTAACAGGAACACATACGCTGTGATCTCCAAGTCTGAGTTCCAACCGAAGTCAAGCTCCAAGTCGCACCATGCCAGATCCAAGAATAAAAGTTCAAACGGCAGCAAAATCAAAAATAAACCGGATTATGATCAAATTTCCTCACAATTGCCACCATCAGATCACTCAGTAAAGCCCACCGAAACTCCCTATGCAGAGACAACGCCCCTCTGGCATTCCCAGAGTGATTTTTTCACTACTAAACTTAGTCGCTCTGAATCAGATTTTTCCAAACTCTGTCAATCTTACTCAGAGGATTTTTCAGAAAACCAGTTTTTCACCAGAACGAATGGAAGTTCCCTGCTGTCATCTTCAGACAGGGAACTTTGGCAGAGGAAGCAGGAAGGCACTCCTAACTTGTACGACAGTCCCCAGGACCAACGTCTGAACGGGGCTGTCCAGGGGACCCAGGGACAGAATGAAAGCGAGAATCCAGAAACTGTGGACAGTGGAATGAGTAATGGCATGGTGTGTGCCTCGGCAGACCGAAGCCATTATAGTGATTCACAGCCCTCTTTACACGAGGACCTTTCATGGAGGGAGTGGAACCAGACAGCGCCAGGAGCAGATGGAGGCTTGGATTCGTCTACCCAGGACTATGACACAAATAGTCTCTCTGACCAACAGCTGGGTGTCTATCATAAAGACCTAGATGACGTGGGAAAGTGCCCTAGTGATCTACAAGATGACTCAGAGAGCTATGACTTAACCCAAGATGACAACTCCTCTCCATGTCCCGGATTGGATAATGAACCCCAAGGTCAGTGGGTAGGTCCGTATGATGCATACCAGGAAGCTAATTCCAAGGAAGGGTATCCAAATCAAAACCAGTTATCCATGATGTATCGAAGTCAAAGTGAGTTGCAAAGTGATGAGTCCGAAGATGCCCCACCCAAATCTTGGCATAGTCGACTAAGCATTGACCTTTCTGATAAGACTTTCAGCTTCCCAAAATTTGGATCTACATTACAGAGGGCTAGATCAGCGTTGGAAGTGGTGTGGAACAAAAGTACACAGAGTCTCAGTGGGTATGATGACAGTGGCTCCTCCTTAATAGGGAGATTTCGGACATTATCCCAATCAACCGCAAATGAGTCAAGTACCACCTTAGACTCTGATGTCTACACAGAACCCTATTACTACAAAGCAGAGGATGAGGAGGACTATAGTGTACCAGTGGATGACAATGAAACAGACTATGTTGAAGTTATGGAACAAGTCCTTGCGAAATTAGAAAACAGGACTAGTATAACAGAAACAGATGAAACAATGCAAGACTTTGACCACTCTTCATATGAAACGCCTTATGAAACCCCACAAGATGAGGGTTATGATGGTCAGGCAGATGATGTGGTGAGTGAAGGGGGATTGGAGCCATTAAATGAAACATTAATTGAAATGGAAATAAGAGGAGATGAAAACCAGAACATTCCAGAACAGCCAGTGGAAATCACAAAGCCAAAGAGAATTCGCCCTTCTTTTAAAGAAGCAGCATTAAGAGCCTATAAGAAGCAAATGGCAGAGTTGGAAGAGAAGATCCTGGCTGGAGGTACTCCTGTTTAAATACCACATTATAAATCTTTTGTGTTTTTCCCTTGAATAGTATTTCTTTAGAGCATGTTACGATTTTACTTTTAGTAGAAATAATTGACTTGTGATGCTTTTGAATGCTTATTTGAAGATGAATTTTATTATACACAAATGGTTCCCTCAACATGTTGGACTTGATGGTGGAAAATTTAAGCATATTTCAAATGAGTCCCCTTAAACGGAGCCCAAACTTTCTCCTAAATAATGGAGATCAAGATGTCTCTGCTAGGCACAAACCCTGTATCAAATTAAGCACTATAACTCTATAATATCAGATCTTTATCAAAGAAAAGATACGTAAAATCAAAGAGCATCCCCTTATGCCAGAAGCCTAGGGCCCTGTCCTGGGTTTTATCAGATTTTTAATGTTAAAAAAAAAATGAGGAGAGGAATTACTAGATTTGCCACTCCTTCTCTCATCAAATCACCCAAGCGGGGCCCATCAGCAGGAAGAGCTGGGTATCCACACCCAACTCGAGCCAGTTTCATGGGGTATCAGAGCCTCCCTTACCTTTCATCCAATCCTAATAAGAAAATCCACTTTCTGAGGGAGCGTCAGAAAGGGAGTAGAGATGAGACATTTCCTCATAGAGAATAGAGTGGGAGTCCCATCCCATTTCAAAGATCTGTGACCATGAGAAGAATCTCGTACCTCAGAATTTAACATAATTCCTTGGAAGCATGATTTGGGGTCAGACAATTCGGAAAAGCAGTGATGTGTAGATGTTTCACTTGTCCACCAATCTTGATCTGCATATGTCCTAGATGGCTAACCCTGTTGCATGCTAACACATTTTCAGTACTTCCTAGTTACCACAATTTGGGTGAGTTACATATTATGAGCATGTGCCCTGATGATGGCAATGTCATCTTTAACTCAAATATTTAATGCATATTATGTTTCACAGAGCTGCCTATTGATGCACTCAAGTGTTACTTGCTGTTATGTGCTTATGGACTCTGTAGCCAGTAGTTAATTGTGGTTTCTTTGTGTTGACCAGAAGTGTAGTAAGATATTTCTCCAAAATGGCCATTTTCTGGTTGATATGGATGACATATTCAATTATGCAATACCTTTATTCTCAACTGTTTCAGACCGTAAGACGTTAGACGTAACAATGAGAGCTCTCTGCTTTAAATGCCTGTCTGTATAAAACAACATGGCCCAGTGTAATTAGCTTAACGAACAACCCAAATCACTGGGATCATGGGCATTGGCTGTGATTTTTTTTTTAAATATTCTTTTCTGAGGCAAGAGGCTTTTCAAGGATATTTAAACTTTATTTGAAAGGGGAAAATAATAAATGCTATGTAAAAATATTACATGAAATACCGATCTCATTTTAGAGCAACTTATTGGTAGCTAGGTGAAATGGAAACTCTGCCGATATTTTTGAGACACAGAGAAGTAGTTTCGCCTGGTAATATATTTGCTCTTGGTTCAAAGGAGTCTACTCAAGTGCAAAATCAGGCTAAGCAGTGTGTGTGTGTGTGTGTTTTGATGTAACAGAGGGATGTTTTAACTCTAGTTGGTGCTGATATCCATTTGGATATTAGGTAATATCATTACCAGAGATAATATCATCAGTTTTAGGTGGGGGGGGGGCGGGGGAAATAAGCCTTTATCAATTTGTTAAAAATTCCAAGTTAATAAACCTTTATGTAGTAGACTGTTACAGTAAAAACCCTTTCAAATAGCTAACAAACCTAGTGAGTTAATGCATTTACTTTTTGAAAACCTAAATGCACTTAATTGTCCATACACCACCAGCTTAAAAGTTCTACAACAGAAGAAAAATAATATTGTGTCCCAGAACTGACCCACTAGGCTTGGCAGTAGAGGGCTCAGACTCCAACAAGCATGGAGCTTGACCTGTTATCCTGTGAACCAGCTCTGAATGCAATTGGTTGAATTATCACCTACCCCAGAGGAATTCAGCACACACTTCTGTAAGATGTACTCTGCTTGCTGAAAAGTACCAGATTGACTAGCCAGGAGGCTTCAGTAGCCTAGTTTAAAAAGGGCATCTCCAAGCCTTTTGGCAATGCCTAGGTAGTTTTCTTTACTCGGTACCACCAATATGCTTCAGGAGGAAGGGCAGCCAAAGAAGGGAATAATCCAGGCCCCTTCCCTGCTGGGAGCATCCCAGTGAGGTGCCAATTGTTAGGATTATTTTGTGCTCCTGGCCATCTGCTTACTGGGTTTGGGCAGACGCCACCAGATTCTCTCTTCGTGGCTCCCCAGTCAACATTAGGCAGCAGTGTTGCCTTTCTCCTTTTGCTTTTTCTTGTACCAACCTGGCCATATTGGACCATAGAGTGCTTGCGGGAAAACTCGGTGGGATGCTGTTCCCCTGACATCGATTGATGGAAGCAGGCTTGTAAATTTGAGTTATTTAATGGAACTCTCATTTGCGGGCTTCTAGTTCACAGGAATTTCTAAAACTCCGATGTTTATATACATGGATAACATGGTCGTAGTGTTTGGGAGAAATCTGAACAGCATGCTATTGGGGGAAAAGGTCTGGAATGTGTATAGCCAGAAACATACCCATGAAGTCAAATTATTTCCCTCTGGCTGAATCCTGCTGATGGGTTTGTGTAGCTGCCCTGAACTTTACACCATGGTGAGGCCTCTCTACTCTCCTTTGGCTGAGATCAACTATGGTAGCCTCTGAAGTCCCATCTGGATGCCTCTTATTGTCCCCACTGAGCTCCCCCCTTTTATAATACCAATTTACATGTATTTTCTCTTCTAAACTCTTAGAGACAAGAGGTCTTGTCATTTTCTTTCTTCCAATCTACACTGTCTACTCCTGTGTTTTTACAGACACGGTACTGAGCTAAAAATGATAATTATTATTTGACAAATGACTGAATCAAAGGAGGCTGGATGTTAAATAGCGTTCCAGCTTTGTTATCAGATCCATATTCAAACTGTGGCCTTTCATTGCCTGAAAGCTAACATGTAGGGAGCGCTAGCATATTTCAATGGTTTGGGTTTGATTTTAGTTGAGTCAATAGTATGCACTTTCCTGGTATGTGTGTGTTATAGGTTTTCTTTCTTTTACGTATTGCACCACTGCTCTATAAACGTGATTCTCCTATTACCCCATTTTATAGGCAAAGAAGCTGAGATGCTGAAAACTTAAGTAACACACTCATGCCACACAGCTAGAAAGGGGTCGATACAGAATTCAATGGTTGGTAATTTTCCTTTCTTTAGCGCAGCTATATGCTTACTCACTTCAAATGTGGTTTTGTTCCTGTTTTAAGTAGGGAAGGGAAGCAATGATCACATGTGGAGGACAGAATCAGCCATTGGTCTACCCCAGCTAAAGGGTTTTCATGAGAAACCAATAATAATATGAAAGGCAGGATGTTTTCTGACACATTGAGGTTTTGACGTGAAATAGTTCATTCTCAGTTTTTCTACTTCAAATCCTTATATCATCTTATAAATCAAGGGTTGAAGAGTCCAATAAACCCTGTGTCTAACAACTTCTTGAAGTAAGATGTATTTAAACTCTGAGTACCCTTTGCCTGGGACGAGAGCCTGAAGATTGAAGTAAATTTATTCTGGTAGAAAAAACCTCTTGATTTGTTTTGAAATGTTATCCCCTCAGAATCTGCAGCTTCTGAAATAGACTGTAACATTGGTAGCTAGGCATACATATTTCTAATTTTTAAAAAAAATCGTGGCATATATTTATTTTCTGAATGGCTGTAGAACTTTGTGGGAACATTTTGGCTCCCAAATAAGGATGTGAAATTGAATATAGAAACATTTTCCTCAGGTTGATAGTTTATTATTTAGGTCAGTGTTTTCCAATCTGGCCAGTCAACAGAATCAGCGGGGGAAGAAGAAATTTCATTATTAATTATTATTATAATGTTAATGTTATTATTAATTATTATTATACATGTTATTGTTAACACTCCCGCCCTGGCCCTCTTACCCACACCTCTCTCCCCATCCTTTCTTGGTGTTGTTGTAAAATTACAGATTATTAGGTTCCTAGCACTAAAGATTTTGATTTGGTGGGCCTATAAAAGGTCCCAGAATGTGCATCCAAATTTTTAATTCATTCCCTTATAATAGAATAACAAACACAATACATATATGAAATACAACACAAATGAAGACATAATAAAGCAAAATCATTCCGATTTGAGGGGAAAGCAAAATAGCTTCTCTTATTCTTTGGAGAGGGTCAATTGGCTCCAGCCACATTATACCTTTTCTTCCTCATCTTTTTAAACAGTAATATTGTAGTGTATCTATCTTCATGGTCTCTACCTTGATTTGTTTTCCTGTGTATGCATACTTAAACTTTCTTTTCATTTTAAGACCTACCACATTCCTTTTAAATAACACAAAACTTTCCACTAGAAAGCTGTTCTATTGTTTATTTGACCAGCCTCTTATTAATCAGCATTTCAATTGGTTACAGGCTTACAGACAGTATAGCACCATCATTTGCCTTTAGGCAAACAATATCATGTATATGTAGGATATATTCTTAGATGCGGAATTACTGGATCAAAGGATTTACTTCTACATAAAGTAGTTAGGCACTCATGAATCTTGGGTTATTTCAATATTTCATTTTCTTTTTTTTAAATAATTTTATTAGGGGCTCATACAACCCTTATCACAATCCATACATACATCAATTGGGTAAAGCACATTTGTACATTCATTGCCCTCATCATTCTCAAAACATTTGCTCTCCACGTCAGCGCCTAGCAGCAGCTCCTCATTTCCCCTCCCTCTCCACTCCCCCCTCCCTCATGAACCCTTGATAATTTATAAATCACTGTTTTGTCATGTCTTATACTGTCCGACATCTCCCTTCCCCCACTTTTCTGTTGTCTGTCCCCCAGGGAGGAGGTTATATGTAGACCCTTGTAATCAGTTCCCCCTTTCCACCCCACCTTCCCTCCACCCTCCTGGTA